ATATATATATATATTGTTATTACGCTGGCCTACTTGTGGGTGATATTCATTAACACCTGATTAACATTAACACTTAATTAATTATTGTCCATCTATAGTTGTAGGTGCTGTTCTTGATGTTAAAATTGTAACTGAACTAAACATGGATGGTTCATTTTGGTCTGTGATGGTTCGGAATGAAAAACAACAAGCAAAATTTCTCAGTATGACAAATGAATTAAGGTCAGTAATTTTATGATTTTTTAACTTTTAAAAAGTCTACCATATATTTTTGTGCTGATTTTGTTTTTATTTTACTCATGACCATTATTAAGCAGCTGTCTAGCCCAGTTCAAAGTGTTTGTAATAATTTATTGCTCATTAATACAAAATTGTTTTGTTCTGATTCATTTGATGATTACTAAATAATAAAGAATTGCATACTGAGTAACTAACCCTGACTTTCAGGATTGTCTATTGATATACCAGTGTTTAATGACAGCTTGTTTTATCCAGCTTGTCTAGTAATATTCCAATGAGTAACGCCTTCTTTTGTTCATCTAGCTTGTCTAGTGATATTCTGTCACCTGTGGAGCTTCATTCCGGTAAGATAGTTGCTGTAAGTCCAGAAGAAGGTAAATGGTTTCGTGCCTCAGTCCTGAAAGTTTCGGGGGACTTGGTGAGTACAGTTTGTTCTTCACAAAACACCTGTCCTGAAGAATTCTAGATATATATTTCTTCCCCTAAACTTTAGTCAGTAAAATTTTATGACAAAATAGAAAAGATCAACCAGTGTTTTAACCTCAAAAAACATATTTTTACACATGGTGCACCGGAAGATTGAATTATTTTGTTATTGATACTTGCCATGCAAACCTTCCAAGAAATATTTTTTAATGCAAATGCATTTTCAAAGGGTATTTATTCAAATCCTAGCCTTATTATCTGTATTTTTAGGTCCAAGCTCGTTTGGTTGACTTAGGCCAGATAGTTGATGTGTCACACGATCAAGTAAAGAAGCTTGACAGCAAATTTATACTGTATCCATTTCAGGTAAGTCATGTTATTGTACAATAAGCAAATCATGGGATTGTACAATGAAAATTTTTAGCAGACTTATACCAAATCGTATTGACAAATGTAAGTGGTCAATTCTTGGGCACATTTTACGGAGTGTTTTTAGGGAATGTTTAAAAAATGATTTGTTATGTAAAGTGTGGCTGTGACTTATCAGACACAAAATTAATTTTTTGTCTGCCTAAAGTTTAATACTACTGTACCAATTTGCTGCTTTTTATTAGTTCCTATGCATGTAATGCAATAGGAACTATTGTAATCACTCTTGCTATTTCCTATGTTTTTTATTGTGTGTAGTGTGTATGTGTGTGTGTAGACATTTATGCAAATGCGCATGCGTC